TATTCTATTATGGATCATATCAGAGTTTTTAATAAAATAAGTCATAGTGTGAACTTAAAAGAGGAATCTATGTTTGCAAATTTATTTTTGGCTTGAGATCTTTCTTTCTTTCTTTCTTTCTTTTTCTATTCCCACTTATTTTTGGCTCTTGGGGAAATGTCGTCTTTTCAATATGAAAAAAAAGCAACAAGTTCAGCAAAAATTAGAAATCTGAAGTGTAGAATAGGACAAAAGCAGGGTAGGGGGAAAAGGCAATAGTAAAAGCAAGAGATGAGATGTTGCCAAAAGATGGAGGGTGTCCTGTCCCCTATCTGGGGAATGACATTTAGATGACAGCACATACCTTTACATATATGCACAGAATGACTGATATATTTTTTTTTTCTGTAAGAAATGATAGGGTTGTAGAGGAGCTTTCTGGAGACTTAGGGACCAAGGCTAGTCTCTCTCTTGCTCCTCTTGACCCCTTTTTCCCACCAGGTTTAAGGAAGGAATCCAACATTATGAAGGAGGTAAAGTGGAAGAGGGAAGGATCCCCCTTGACAGGGTGGGGGTCAGACCCCTGCAAAGGAAACCACCCAGGACAGAGCTTGGAGGAGACTGAAAATGGAGATAGTACTGTTAACACCTCCCCAGAAACTGAGAGAGGAGTGGGGAGATATCTGGAAACTAGGACTTCAATAACCTGGATGCCCTTCTTCAAAACCCCACCTCGGGGGGGACCTTGAAGATGGCAGAAGTGTAAGACGCGGAGATCACCTTCCTCCCCACAGATACACCAGAAATACATCTACACGTGGAACAGCTCCTACAGAACACCTACTGAAGGCTGGCAGAAGACCTCAGACCTCCCAAAAGGCAAGAAACTCCCCACGTATCTGGGTAGGGCAAAAGAAAAAAAGAAAAAACAGAGACAAAAGAATAGGGACGGCACCTGCACCAGTGGGAGGGAGCTGTGAAGGAGGAAATGTTTCTACACACTAGAAGCCCCTTCGTGGGTGGAGACTGCAGGAGGCGGAGGGGGGAGCTTCAGGGCCGCAGAGGAGTGCACAGTGACAGAGGTGCGGAGGGCAAAGCGGGGAGATTCCCGTACAGAGGATCAGGGCCAACCGGCACTCACCAGCCCGAGAGGCTTGTCTGCTCACCCGCCGGGGCGGGTGGGGCTGCGAGCTGAGGCTCGGGTTTCAGTTTCAGTCGGAGCGCAGGGAGAGGACTGGGGTTGGCGGCTTGAACATAGCCTGAAGGGGTTAGTGCACCACGGCTAGCCGGGAGGGAGTCCGGGGAAAAGTCTGCACCTGCCAAAGAGGCAAGAGACTTTTTCTTCCCTCTTTGTTTCCTGGTGCGCGAGGAGAGGGGTTTAAGAGCGCTGCTTAAAGGAACTCCAGAGACAGGCGCGAGCTGCGGCTAAAAGCGCGAACCCCAGAGACGGGCGCGAGCCGTGGCTAAAAGTGCGGACCCCAGAGATGGGCGCGAGCCACAGCTAAAAGCGCGAACCCCAGACACGGGCGCGAGCCGCGGCTGAAAGCATGGACCCCAGGGACGGGCGGGCAATGCTAAGGCTGCTGCTGCCACCACCAAGGGGCCTGTGTGTGAGCACAGGTCACTATCCACACCCCACTTCCGGGGAGCCTGTGCAGCCCGCCACTGCCAGGTTACCGGGATCCAGGGACAACTTCCCTGGGAGAATGCACGGCGGGCCTCAGGCTGGTGCAACGTCACACCGGCCTCTGCCGCCGCAGGCCTACCCCGCACGCAGTGCCCCTCCCTCCCCCCAGCCTGAGTGCTCCAGGGCCCCCGAATCAGTGGCTCCTTTAACCCCATCCTGTCTGAGCAAAACACAGCCGCCCTCCAGCGACCTACACGCAGAGGCAGGGCCAAATCCAAAGCTGTGCCCCTGTGAGCTGTGAGAACAAAGAAGAGAAAGGGAAATCTCTCCCAGCAGCCTCAGAAACAGCGGATTAAAGCTCCACAATCAACTTGATGTACCCTGCATCTGTGGAATACATGAATATACAACGAGTCATCCCAAATTGAGGAGGTGGGCTTCGAGAGCAAGATCTATGATTTTCTCCCCTTTTCCTCTTTTTGTGAATGTGTATGTATATGCTTCTGTGTGAGATCTTGTCTGTATAGCTTTGCTTCCACCATTTGTCCTAGGGTTCTATCCGTCCATTTTTTTTTTTAAATTTTAAAAACCCTGCAGAAAGTAAGCATAGAGGGAACTTTCCTCAACATAATAAAGGCCATATATGACAAACCCACAGGCAACATCATCCTCAATGGTGAAAAACTGAAAGCATTTCCACTAAGATCAGGATAAACACAAGTTTACCCACTCTCACCACTCTTATTCAACATAGTTTTGGAAGTTTTAGCCACAGCAATCAGAGAAGAAAAGGAAATAAAAGAAATCCGAATCAGAAAAGAAGAAGCAAAGCTGTCACTGTTTGCAGATGACATGATACTATACTTAGAGAATCCTAAAGATGCTACCAGAAAACTACTAGAGCTAATCAATGAATTTGGTAAAGCACCAGGATACAAAATTAATGCACAGAAATCTCTGGCATTCCTATACACTAATGATGAAAAATCTGAAAGTGAAATCAAGAAAGCATTCCCATTTATCACTGCAACAAAAAGAAAAAAATATCTAGGTATAAAACTACCTAAGGAGACCAAAGACCTGTATGCAGAAAATTATAAGACACTGATGAAAGAAATTAAAGATGATACAAATAGATGGAGAGATATACCATGTTCTTGGATTGGAATAATAAACATTGTGGAAAAGACTCTACTACCGAAAGCAATCTATAGATTCAATACAATCCCTATCAAACTACCACTGGCATTTTTCACAGAACTAGAATGAAAAATTTCACAATCTGTATGGAAACACAAAAGACCCCGAATAGCCAAAGCAATCTTGAGAACGAAAAACAGAGCTGGAGGAATCAGGCTCCCTGACTTCAGACTATACTACAAAGCTACAGTAATCAAGACAGTATGGTACTGGCACAAAAGCAGAAATATAGATCAATGGAACAGGATAGAAAGCCCAGAGATAAACCCACACATATATGGACAACTTATCTTTGATAAAGGTGGCAGGAATGTACAGTGGAGTAAGACAGCCTCTTCAATAAGTGGTGCTGGGAAAACTGGACAGATACCTGTAAAAGTATGAGATTAGATCACTTCCTAACACCATACACAAAAATAAGCTCAAAATGGAATAAGACCTAAATATAAGGCCAGAACCTATTAAACTCTTAGAGGAAAACATAGGCAGAACACTCTATGACATAAATCACAGCAAGATCCTTTCTGACCCACCTCCTAGAGAAATGGAAACAAAAACAAAAATAAACAAATGGGACCTAATGAAACTTCAAAGCTTTTGCACAGCAAAGGAAACCATAAACAAGACCAAAAGACAACCCTCAGAATGGGAGAAAATATTTGCAAATGAAGCAACTGACAAAGGATTAATCTCCAAAATTTACAAGCAGCTCATGCAGCTCAATAACAAAAAAACAAACAACCCAATCCAAAAATGGGCAGAAGACCTAAATAGACATTTCACCAAAGAAGATATACAGACTGCCAACCAGCACATGAAAGAATGCTCAACATCATTAATCATTAGAGAAATGCAAATCAAAACTACAATGAGATATCATCTCATACCAGTCAGAATGGCCATCATCAAAAAATCTAGAAACAATAAATGCTGGAGAGGGTGTGGAGAAAAGGGAACACTCTTGCACTCCTGGTGGGAATGTGAATTGGTTCAGCCACTATGGAGAACAGTATGGAGGTTCCTTAAAAGACTAAAAATATAACTACCATATGACCCAGCAATCCCACTACTGGGCATATACCCTGAGAAAACCAAAATTCAAAAAGAGTCATGTACCAAAATGTTCATTGCAGCTCTATTTACAATAGCCCAGAGATGGAAACAACCTAAGAGCCCATCATCGGATGAATGGATAAAGAAGATGTGGCACATATATACAATGGAATATTACTCAGCCATAAAGGGAAACGAAATTGAGCTATTTGTAATGAGGTGGATAGACCTAGAGTCTGTCATACAGAGTGAAGTAAGTCAGAAAGAGAAAGACAAATACCGTATGCTAACACATATATATGGAATTTAAGAAAAAAAAATGTCATGAAGAACCTAGGGGTAAGACAGGAATAAAGACACAGACCTACTGGAGAATGGACTTGAGGATATGGGGAGGGGGAAGGGTGAGCTGTGACAGGGCGAGAGAGAGTCATGGACATATATACACTAACAAACGTAAGATAGATAGCTAGTGGGAAGCAGCCGCATGGCACAGGGATATCAGCTCGGTGCTTTGTGACCACCTGGAGGGGTGGGATATGGAGGGTGGGAGGGAGGGAGACGCAAGAGGGAAGAGATTTGGGAACATATGTATATGTATCACTGATTCACTTTGTTATAAAGCAGAAACTAACACCATTGTAAAGCAAGTATACCCCAATAAAGATGTTAAAAACAATAAAAAAAAAACACCTCGTCCTTGTAGGGACTTCTACCTTCTGCTTGGTTTCCTTTCTCCTGGGCTACCACACAGGCCTAGGTTGGTGGTCATCTAACTGGGTTGTCAGCCCACAGTTCTACATGAGATTTGATGAGACCCAGCTTCTTGATGAGTTATCTTGAAAATGAAGTTGGAAATGTTAACTGGACAGATGGGAGGAATGGGCACCAGAAGGAAATATAGGGTTTCCCAGAATGGCAGTAACGGTTCTGCCAGAAGTGGAAAGAGAGAGGAGACATTTAACAAACAACAAATATTTATTGAGTGCCTATTATGTGCCAGGCACTGTTCTAGAACCTCTACCCACCTCCCAAAAAAAAAAAAAAATGAGTCAGAAAATGCAAATTCTGAGTGAGAGGAAAGGGATGATTGAGGAAGAAGGCTGAAGGACTGAGAAGCCTTAGGTGATGGGATTTGGCCTTAGGCCTCCTCTTCAGCCTCCTCACCGAAAATCTCTTCTTCTGCTGTGGCATCTTGCTACTGGTGGTATTCAGAGATGAGGTCTTTCATGTTGCTCTCAGCCTCGGTGAAATCCATCTCGTCCCTGCCCTCACCTGTGTACAGTGGAGGAAGGCGTTCCAGCAGAACATGGCAGAGAGCTTTACTCAGGTGAGCTTGAACAACTCCAGTATGGCCGTGCTCTTTCCAATGAAAGTGACCACAATCTTGAGGCCACAGATTGGGATGTTGCAGACAGCTGTCTTGACGTTGCTGGGGATTGATTCCAGGAAGTAGCTGCTGCTCTTGTTCTGCACGTTGAGCTTCTGCTCATCCACCTCCTTCATGGACATTCACCCACAGAAGACAGGAGCCAAGGTGAGGTACAAGCCATGGTGGGGGTCACAGGCAGCCATTGTGTTCTTGGCATAGAAGATCTGCTGGGTGAGCTTGGGCACAGTGAGTGTCCGATACTGCTGGCTTCCACCTCTGGTTAGAGGGGAAAAATCAGGCATGAAGAAGTGAAGACATGGGAAGGACACAACGTTGACTGCCAGCTTGCAGAGGTCAGCAATGAGCTGGCTAAGGAAGTGGAGGCAGGTGGTGACACCACTCTTGGTGGCCAGGATGAGATGGTTCAGGTCCCCTTATGTTGGCGTGGTCAGCTTGAGGGTGTGGAAGCAGATGTTGTAAAGGGCCTGGTTGTGGATGCAGTAGGTCTCATCAGTGTTCTCCACCAGCTGATGGGCAGTGAGGGTGGCATTGTAGGGCAGATTCGGACACTTTGGGTCAGGGCACTACACTGAAGGCTTCATGATGCCATTGGGATACTCTTCACGTGTCTTGCTGATGAGCAAGGTGCCCATTCCAGAATCTGTGCCCCTACCAGCAAGTGGGTCAGCTGGAAACCCTAAAGGCAGTCACAGCTCTCTGCCTCCTTCAGAACCACATCCATGACTTAACCAGCTCAGCACCCTCTGTGTAGTGGTCCTTGGCCCAATTGTTGCCTGTCCCAGACTGACCAAAAACAAAGTTGTCTGGTCTGAAGATCTGAGCAAAAGGACCTAAGCGAATAGAGTCCATGGTCCCAGGTTCCAGATCCACCAAGATGGCACGAGGAAAATATTTGTCACCTGTGGCTTCATTGTAGTTCATGGAGATGCAGTCCAACTGCAGGTCTCTATACCCATGATAGGTGTCAGTGGGGTCTATGCCATGTTCATCACTTATCACCTCCCAGAATTTGGCACCAATTAGGTTGCCACACTGACGGGCCAGGATGTGCACAATTTCCCTCATTGTTAAAATTTATTCTATTTTTTTGCTTGCCTCAAGATGTGGATGGGGCAAGAAAATGATATGTAATTAGTTTTCCTCTGCTGCTGGTCACAGGCTGGAAGGATTGAATGCGCCCCGGAGGTTGGAGAAGCAAGATACAAATGCGGCATCAGGAAGGTTCTGAGAGAGGATTCTTCTTTCTAATACCACAATTTACTACCTATAAGAAATGTAATTCCATTTTCTAGAAATATATTTTATTATTGAAATTATTTTCACAGTTTAAAATGTGTTATATATTTTGAAATAGTGTCTATAAAATTTCCTATCTTTAAAAATTCTTGCTATTGATGTCACCATATATATTTTAATATTTGAAAGAGATAGTAGAAATATTATAACTTGCTATAATATTTTATTTGCAATCATTATAGTGCTATTTAACCTTTCAATATACTTATTTTCTATTATTTTGTCTTTATTTGTAAAAAAACTTTCTTTGTAGTAACACAATTTTGAAATTGTCCATTGTTATATCTTGACTACATACCATTTTTTCATAGATATGTTTCTCATTATCTTTACTTTTCAAATATGTATTAATCATAAATTTTACTAGACCCTTAAATTGGGTTCATATAAGAGTGTATATTGTAATACCCATATAATTTAGGTGAATATTGGGTATTTTATTGCTTTTTAAAGTAATTTATACTTTAATTTCAAAATTAATTTCATTAAGATAATATTTTTGGAATTCCTTAATGTTATTTCTAGGCATAAAATATAGTTAGGCGTTGTAAAATGTTTCATGGAAGCTTACATGCATGATTTATTCTCTACAAGGTGTAGATTTTAGTACAAAACAATACTAAAACTAATATATATTGAAATTTTATTAAATATTGTTTATTTTTATCTCTTTGATATGCCAAGGGCTGGAAGGAATAGGTTAAAATACATTAACAAGCATAAAATATTTCTTCTGTTATCTTTGTACTCCCTATACATTTTTTACTGTGTATATATGTGGTGTGTATATGTCTGTGTTTATTTTCCTTATACAAATTTCAAGGAAATTAAAAGTTTTTGTAATTGCACATTTTAAATAATGATACTTTTTTCTGTGAAAAAAGTGTTTTTTTACATTTTAATTCTAATATATCAGATATTAATATGACGACCAATTAAAAATTATCCTGTTCTACATTTGTCAATTTTTAATTTTTTCTTTGTTTTAGTCATTGCTCTTGTGGACATCAAATAGAGTTGACTTTTACTTGGTCTTATATTACCCATATGAGAAAAATCTTCTTTAAATACATATTATTATGTAAAAATTTAAATTGGTATTAATTCTAAGTGGTTTTAAATTTTTAAAATATTGTTGCTTCTGCTGGTAATGTTGTTTTATGGTTCCTTGCTTTTTTTTTTTTTATTTTACTTTTTAGGAAGTTATATTTTCTTTGTCAAATTGTATCCTACATATCTTGTTTTTATTCATAGTGTTTTAAACTCCAAATAAGTTTATTATTTTCCTAGATATCTCAACAACTCCAAATAAGAAATAAAACTGTTTATTGATTTCTAGTGATTAAAAGGAAAAATTAATACATACAACAAATCCTTACAAACCATCCCTTTCTTTTTCTATTTTTCCAAAGGTTAAAAAACTTTTTCCAGCCTATTTTAATCACATGCCTAGAAAATTTAATTACCTCTTTAAAAATTCCTTAAGTTTTATTTGTTTTTAAGCAGAATTGCTTTTGTTTCCTTCTATGAATAAATTAAATTTATACTTATCCATTTTTCTGTGCTATCATAAATTTCAAGGCCATTAAATCTTATTTCATATCATTTATTAGTTGTGTTCTGTTTAGTATACTATTTTGCTGTACTGGGATTTTGATCTTGACACATTTTTAAAGTACACAGCAAGTCTTTGAATATTTCAAAAAGATTATTCTATTGGAATTATGTGAAAATGCTATTGTTGTTGTTATAGGACTCTCAATTTTATCCTGGGGGAGTAATTGACAGTGAGGGACAAAGGGGACCTGAGGCTGTGTCTGAGCAGAGCAAGGGGAACAATTGCTGACAGCTGCACAGGCAGCTCACTGGTGCATCAAAGACAGCTCCAAACTCTGTGTGCAGCCAACATGAGCTGACAGTCCACATAGACCTCACTCGCATCAGCACTCTTTCTCACTGGGGTAAGTGTCTTGTACTGGGAGAGGGGAAAAAAAAAAAAACAAACAACTTCAAGGGAACAAAGCCAGCTCAAGCCTGACCCTCATGTCTTCTGCTCCAGCAACTTGGAATCAGACCTTGCCACCAATAGGGTGGTGATGGCCACTGAGAAGAGGGGAAATCCACCTTACACCTGGCTCCAGCTCTAGCCCTTTCATCTCCAGCCCCACTCCCTACCAAGTAATAGCTGCCAGCACACACTGAGGAAGGATGTGACTGGTATCCATGTCAAATCCAGTTCTCCCACCAAAGGCAGGATGTTGCCACATAAGAACAGTGCTTGCTTCAAGACTTAATAGGTAATCATTTCACCTAAATTCATAGGGGCAGAGAAAGTTAAGCAAAATGAAATGGCAAAGGAACTGGTCTCAACTAAAAGAACTGAAAAAATAAATAATGAAACAAATAAGCAATAGACTAGATAAAGAATTCAAACATGCTAATAAGAACGTTAAATGAGTTAGAGAAAAAAGCAGATGAAAACAGTGAGGATTTTAAAAATGAAATAGAAAGCATAAAAATGAACCAGTCAGAACTAAAGAATACAATAGTTGAAATGAAAAACATACTAGAAGGCATTAATAGCAGACTAGGTGATAAACAGAAGTGCTCTGGAAAACAGAGTAAAGGAAATCACCCAATTAGAACAGCAAAAAGGAAAAAAAAAAATGAAGACATTCTGGAATAACATGAAGCATACCAACATTTGCATTATAGGAGTCCCAGAAGGAGAAGAGAGAGAGAAGGGGATCAAAAATATATTTGAAGAAATTATGGCTGAAAATTTCCCAAACATGATGGAAGAAACAGATATCCAGATACAGGAAGCACAGAGGGTCCCCAAAGAAGAAGAACCCAAACAACCCACACAAAGACATATCATAATTAAAATGGCAAAATGTTAAAAAGAGAATACTAAAGGCAGCAAGAGAAAAGCAAATAATCCTATACAAAGGAACCCCTATAAAGTTATCAGCTGATTTTTCAGCATAAACTTTGCAGGCCAAAAAGAGTGGAATGATATATTCAAACTGCTAAAAAGGAAAATCTGCAACCCAGGATACCCAGCAAAGTATCATTACCATATCAAACATGGTTTGAAAGTATAAATACACCTCAATGTTCATTGCTGCACTCTTTACAAGAGCCAAGACATGGAAGTAATCAGCAGATTAATGTATAAAGAAAATGTGGTACATCTATACAAGGGAATATTACTCAGCTACTAAAAAGAATGAAATAATGTCATTTGCAGCAATGTGGATGGACCTGATGATTATCAGGCTAAGTGAAGTAAGTCAGACAGAGAAAGCTAAATATCACATGATATTGCTTACATGTGGAATATAAAAAAAAAATGATACAAATGAACTTATTTACAAAACTCACAGACTTGAATAACAGACTTATGGTTACCATCAGTGGTGGGGAAGGGAGGAGAGGAGGGATAGATTGGGAGTTTGGGATTGACCTGTACACATTGTTATATTTAAAATAAAATGCCTTTCCATAATATATATATATTGTTTAGAATAGAAGGAAAGATAAAGAACTCTTCAGATAAGCACAAAGTAAAAGAATTTATCAACACTATACCCACCCTAAAATAAGTTTTAAAGTGTTTTCTCTAAGTGAAAAATAAGTAAAAATCTATAGGAAAGAGAAAAATCTCACTAGGAAAGGCAAATATATATAAGGACTAAGGATCAAGCACTTAAATAAGCCAGTACAAAGATTAAAAGACAAAAAAAGCAAACCAAAACTGTAAAAACAACTATAACTACAATAAACAGTTAAGAGATAAACATAAATATGTGAAATATGACACCAAAAAGGCAAAACGTGGGGAAGGAGGGTAAAAATGTTGATCTTTTAGAGTATGTTTGAATTTAAATAACTACCAGTTTAAAACAAGTATACATAGTTATAAGTAAATATATATGAACCTCATGGTAACCACAAATTTAAAACTTACAATAGATACACAAAAACTAAAAAGAACACAAGCATAATACTAAAGAAAATCATCAAACAAAAAGGGAAGAAACAAAAAGAAGAAAAAAGAACATAAAACTAAAAAAAAATCCAGAAAACAAGTAATAAAATGGCAATAAGCACATACTTATCAATAATTACTTTAAATGTCAATGGACTAAATGCTCCAATCCAAAGATATAGGGTGGCTGACTGGATTTAAAAATAAATAAAATAAAATAAGACCCATCTATATGGAACCTACAAGAGACTAATTTTAGAGCTAAAGACACACACAAACTGCAAATTAGGGGATGGAAAAATATATTTCATGCAAAAGGAAACAACAAGAAAGCTGAAGTAGCAATACTCATATCAGGCAGAATGCCTTCAAAACAAGGGCCCTAACTGAAGACAAGGAAAGGCATTATATAATGATAAAGGAATCAATACAAACAAAGGATATTACACCCATTAACATATATGGACCCAATACAGGAGTACCTAAATATATAAAGCAAATACTAACAGTTATAAAGGGAGAAATTAGCAATAAAATAATAACAGTAGGAGATTTTAACAACCCACTTACAACAATAGACAGTTCATCCTGACAGAAAATCAGTAAGGTAATACCGGTCTTATGACACAATAGACCATTTGGACTTAACAGAAATCCATAGGACTTTACATCTCAAAACATCAGAATACATATTCTTTTCAAGTGCATATGGAATGTTCTCTAAGGTAGATCATATGCTAGACCACAAAACAAGTCTCAACAAATTTAAGAGGAT